TACCAGAAGTTCGAGCAGCCTGGAGATTTCTGTTTGAATGCCCTGTCCAAAAACTTCTATGAGAAGGCATTACTTATCCATACACCTTCCTTCCTTTTTAGTTAGTTACTCATCATTTTAATAGCTATATATGCCATATCCAAGAAAGACCTCTAAGCAGTTTTGTGAGTGTTACAAGAGTAGGTTTTCCCCAACATTACTTCTGTTTTAGAAAGCAGAGCATAGAGAATTCTGAAATAGTATTTGATGACATAACTGAAAATGTCTAGGAATAGGGCATGTGCATCTGGAGCACCGCTTACCATACACTTCCATTCCTTCCCCACTTCCCACTCCGGTGTTTCCTCCTTGCTCTCATTCAGGCCTTTTCCTTGCTTTGTATCTGCTGCTGCACAAACCAGCATGCATTGCCAAATAGTGTGCCAGCATGTTGCCACCGTTGCACTGCCCTCCGATTGCTTGATCTTGTGTGCACCATTAATAAGAACAGGTTATGGGAAGTCTTGTCATTCCCAGGGCTTAGTATCTAAACTCCAGTGAAGGTGATTCTAAACACAGATACACAACTCCTAAGATAAACACATGTTGTGCTGAAAAATAAATTGCTGTACTTTTGCTAGGGCAGGACTCTGAAATGGAGTATCGATGTGGCATCAGCTGAGTAGGGTTCTAATCCTGCAATGATTATTTGGGTGTGGTAAAGGCTGGAATAATTTTCATTTTCTGAGATAGGTATCACATCCTGTGTTCTGAGTGATGGAAAAAAAATGTTTGTTTTAAGAACCAGGAAGTGGTTTCTTTTCAGCAGAGCTGTGCAGCTCTGCACTGTGGCTGATTAAAGGGGCAGTTGTGGCTAAGTTTGCATGATATGACTACCCACCTTGACAATAAGCAATGATGAGTTGGTTTTTTGAAGCACCCACAGCAAGCCCAACAGATGACTGGGTTCACTGTGAGTATTTCATTTGCGCATGCCTTTCCCTCTTATTCCTCCAGGTGGTTTCCTGGGGACACCATGAGGTGGAACGGGTCTCTTCTCTCTGATTAGCCACACAATTGTGAACTGATTTCAGTGCAGGGCACCTGTCCCTGTTGTGCAGTGTTCAAGCTCTGGAGAGGCAACTTCTGACAGAAGGATTATAAAGAGTCTTGTCCCTGCAAGGCAAACAGAGCTCTTGTCCCAAAGCGGAATGGGCAGGACAGGGTTAGGGTTAGGGGAGCTGATCAGCCCCCTTGCCTCCTGGGGCACCTCAAGGGTGAGGCAGTGATGCTGCTGAGTGTTGCAGGAGCTTCTTCCTCCTGTTCAAGAGGTCTTATCTGATAGGAGGCAGGGGCGGTCACTGCCCCGGGCATGGGAAGTGGATTCCTGCTGGTGGCTGGAGAGGTCTGTTTTGGAGCCAGCTGGAAGCATGGCTGCTCCGCACCACCGCAGGAGAGAGAGAACTTCTGACAGTAGCCCCCAAATGCTGCTTGGGCACTTTGGAGTCTGCTGTCTTTGGATGTTTGGAAAAAACAATGTACCCTGGCTGACCCTGATTTTACTCACATGACATGGTCATGATAACAAGCCATGGTCTGTTCCTCGAGGATTACTGTATTTGGCTGTTGGCTGTCATTTTATTGATTTCATAGCTGTCTTTTTATTGATTCTCACTATTGTTCCCCAATACTTACACTCCGGGAAGATTTCTCTACCCTCCCTCAAATAATTAACATGAGCACAGCCTAGTGTCAGGACATGTGCTTGCATGCAGTAGGTCATGGGCTTAGTCTTTGCATCTCTGTTTAAAAGTAGGTAGCTGCTGGGAATAGCTGTTTTCTGCCTGAGACTGAAAGAGCAGCTGCCCATCTGCGTGTAATACTGGACTGGATGGGCAGTTAGTATGACTTGATATAAGGCATTTCCCAGGTTCCAAACGCACAGCAAAAACGAATGATTTCTTTGTGGAACTCGCTTATATGCTGTCCAGGGCAATGATGGAAAGATGACAGGAGTGATTGAGCACAGAGGAAATCTTTCTAGAAAATTCCATACATTCAGGATGATCCGTGGCAGTGATAATTACATTATCATGATGTTTGTGTGAACTTCCTCCCCTGCCACTGTTTTGTACCAACAAGAGTTCCTTCTGTTTTCTCTCTGATAAAGTTGAGGGCCGAATGCCATTTCCAAGTCCGCACAAACTAACTTTCATTCCCTTTTAACCACAGTGTTGATCATTTCTATTTTCAGCTTTTATTATTTTTCTTTTTGCTAGCTGCCAAGAAGGGCATATTAGGTATTTCCAAAGTACTAATTCATTAGAACTTGTAATGGGAAATTGTATGTTTTAGAAGTGGCTAGGTAGTTCTTAAAAGGGGAATTACAGTGGGAAGGGGTAGCCTGGTGGTGGTGGTGGAGTTGGGGAGAAAAGTGAAGCCCCACTAGCAGAATTCCCTTTTTGTTTCTAAGGTTATTTGTACTCCTGCATTGGCTTGGATTTCTCTGGGTTGGAATGTTCTCTTCCTGAGAGGAAACAGCTAAATTTATTCTGACCAATGAGGCTCCCTGCGGGTTGAAGAGCACCTTTTTTTTCCAAATCTGGACTATTTGCAACAGCTCAGGATTCTGTTTACCATACTAAGGAACTTTTGAGGGTTTGTTCCACCTTCTGTTTGCTCTTAGAATGAAATTCTTTCAGTTCTCAACTTTTAATCTTTCTAGCTCCATATGAGAAACCAAGCTGTTGTCCACTGATTTTGAAAGTATAAGCTCCGAGAGTTCATAATATTCACCTTATTAAAATGGCCACAGAATATTTCTCCACTTCTCAGTACACTGCAGTCATCCACATTTTAGCCAAGGCTCCTTACATTCCTCTTTACAACCCCCTTATAATGTGTGTGTCATATTAGTTTGATACATGTGTAGTATCGCAAGTAGACATTTTCAGTAGCAACTTTCCCAGTGTGCTTTATTTGACCTGATTTTCTTGAAAGAGTGCTAGTTTTTGGGAGGGCATAAAATTACAAGTTTCTGTGGGTTTCAGAATTGTGGTTCTTGTATGTGATCTCTGCACATTTAAATCTGGAGTGTAGACATAAAGTTATTCATGTGCTCTGATTCCTTTGCTTGGTTAGCCCTGACAAATACTGACTTAGCTCTTTAAATAGGGAGGAAGACTTCCCAGGTAAGTCTCCTCAACATCTTCTGGCAACTTGCTGCTATGAACTTGCATTTCCATGGTATGCAGTTCTGAGATCCCAATGTTACGAGTGCATGCTAGACTTTGCCCTGTCCCATGGCTTTAATGCTGTGGTGTGTTCTGGTTGTGGGCATGACAGCCTGTATTAGGATTCTCGCCTCTAACCCCACTGCTATTGCACGTGGCACCATTGTGACATTGTAGTGTTGCAAGAGTGTCCTAGGTGTTAACAGCTTATGTTTAGTGTTGAAATTTTCCGTATTCAGAGACACCAAATCTATGCAAGTTTTTGCATAGGGACAGCAGCACAGATGGAACTTTCCTGTCCTGAGCTGTTGCATTGGAGCAGCATTTCAGTTTGTTATACTTAATTAACATAGCATCCCTTCTCTGTGTGACCCTGTCTATACCCTGACTTGCATGGTAAACTTTTGCCAAGTGCCAAAGAAAACCTGATCCAAGAGTGTAAATCAGATAGTGAGATTGGTAGCAAATGCCTAGGGAACATAAGTAGGTTGAGGGCGGCTCTCTGGGTGATGATTTCAAAATTTGTGTTAAATTGATTCTCTTGGCACATTTGAATCTTGTGTGACCCATCTGGAAAACTGAATTAAGGCAGGGCTAAAAGAAGCTGCCTTTTTCCATCCTTCCTGTGGTTAGAAGTGTGGCATTCAAAAGGAGGGGACATGCATGAAGAGAGGTTTATTGCCTTCTGTTGAGCAATGACTAGTTGATAGCTCATTAGAGCATGGAGAGGCATTCTTGGAAAGTGTTGGTTGCATGCATGGGCAGTGTCTTAATGAAGTCAGTGTAGGGAGGAGTGGGGCAGAAAGCAAATTACCTTATGCTCCATTTCTGCTTCGTTAACTAGACATGCAATCAAAGGCAGCAGGTTTTTCTTCCTCTTTTCAGATCAATTCTTGCAATTCTCTGTTCATGCTTAAATTTCTAGGCATTGCAGTGGCATGTACTACCTGTGGCTTATTTTTATTCGACAAGCTTGTTTCTCACTGTTGAAGAGGCAGCATGCTGTTTGGCTGTAAGAGGGACAATTAGCCGTTCACTGAATGCTTGCTTGGACTATGGCAAAAAGTTTTCTGCAAAGTCTTATCCTAGTTGGGGAAAGCAAACTTTGCTTGTTTTTCTTGGCATAGACTTCAAAAAGTATTAAGTATCTCTGGTAAATCATATATTGGGAAGCAGAATTGAGACTAGGAAGCAGTGGGTGACTGAGGAGAAGACTCAGTGACAGGACTTGCATAATCAGAGAAGGAAAAGAAGCCACTATGGCTTTTCCCACCACGACCTTTCCATGATTACCTGTGCCAGGCATGAGTTGCCATGTGGTCCAGACCCAGTGAGGGGGAGTGGCGAGCATGCATTCAGATCACACTAGAGCAGGCCATGGATTGTGAGTGGTTCGGAAGTTACCCCTGCTGCCCACCTTGCTGGGTTCAGACAAGGGAGGGACCCATGTCTGGTGTTGGTAATTATGGAAATGGGGCAGCATTCAACAGGCATGTATGGGGCCACCTGACTGCTAATCTGGCCAGAGTTACTGTTAAAGGAGTACCATGCTTGGTCTTATGCAAGTATTATGTAGACTCTCTTTGGGTTCTCAGGGTGCATACAGTTTCACATTTCTGTCCATAACAGTAAGGACTGGAATCCTGCCTGTTTTAATAGTGAATGCTCAGATTTCTTGGAATTTGTATCAGTAGTTTCCAACTTTGAGTCCCCAGATATTAGAATAGAACTTGCATTATCCCTGGCCATCAGACATACTGAGCAGGGATGATAGAAGCTATATTCCTTTATTGTTATTATTTTTAAAAGGATACAATAGGAAAATCATATAATAAAATAACACAATACAAAAATTTAAAAAGTCACCCTTAGTGCACCTCTCCACCAGGACCATGGCTGCCTACCATTTAGAAGCTGTATTCCAACAGCACCTGAGGACCCTAGCTTGGTAATAGCTTTGTGGTTTGCAGCTAGTATCTTTGGAATAAAACTGAATGTAAAGATGCCATATGCCCAGTTTACCAGAGCTCTGCTGGCTGTTTCCCAGGCAAAAGAATATCCTCTCAAGGAGAGAACCTGTTCCAACTTGACTGATTTCGCAGAAACCCCAGGATACGCTATACTGGAGAATTCCACATTTACAGTTTTTGGCATAGGCTGAAACCCAATCTGTCTTAAATTCTTAAGATTAGGGAAACTTGGGAAGTTGCCATGTTCCAGGTCAAACTATTTGTACATCTAGCCCTCAAATCCTGCCTGACAGTGATTCTCCGGGCCTTGTTTTCTGAGGTCCTTTTAAGGGAAGATTGAACTTGGGACGGTGCTGTACTGCTGAGTTTTGGTTTCTTGTCCTTCAACATCACCTTGCACAGGAGTGTTTGGTTTCCAGTTTCTTTGTCCATCTTGGACCCCGTTCCTCTTTTCTGACACCATCTCATTTTCCTGGTTTACTTCACTGCATTCTGTAATTCAGTGTCCTGTATTTCTGGCAGTCTCTAGAGTAAATGAAACCATCGATTAAATCAGACAACATTCAACAAATGAAGCAATTTGTTTAACTTCTTCTGTTAGTAGGAGTCTTGCAAAACATGCCTTTCCAGATTGCAGAATTTCCATTTTTAACCTTGAACGAGCAGCCAAGACTTTGCTTCAGGGCCACAGAGCAGGACACAGTCTTGCCCCTGGAGGGAACCCGAGACAGATAAAAAGAGTGAGAAATGGCTTGTGACAAAGTGGCAGTGACTGGAAAAAGGGATAGGGTAGAGCAGGGAGCGTTTTAGGATAGCTGGAATATAATTACCCCAGTTGGGATGTAGCCAAGGCAGCAATTCACAAACGGTTTGCAGGTCTCAGGCTTCGTCCACTAATTCTTCTTCCTTCCTCTTTTCAAGTTGCGCTAATGGACTGGGTGTTAAGGCAGCTGCCATTGCCTCTGTGCTTACGAAGCATTTCCATCCTGTTCTTTTCCCCCAAAGTGTATCTTTTTCTCTCATGTGTGGCACATCCTTTTGTGCACACACAGCGCTGGGTGTGAGGAAGGCATAGTGGTGCTTATGGTAATTAGGTCTCTTGGTGAGCCCAGCACTTCCTGCTGCTCGTTAGTCAGCTTCCTCTTCCTAGCCCTGCGAGGGCCTTTGGGGCTCAGGATGAAATGCAGTTTGCACTCTGGGGCTTTTCCCGTGAACGCTCCTTTGACATCCTGGGGGCTAATGCAGGAATAGACAGGCTGGCTTGGTGCTTCCAGTGATGGCTTTGGTACTGGATTAGTCTCTTTAGGGAGGACAAAACCTGCGGATTTTTCTTGCTGTTTTGTTTCCAACCTGTGTTTCTACATGATGTGGAATATGGCAGTGACAGCAGTCTGAAATTTTGGCTTTTCAAAAATCTCAAACGTGTTTACTGGAGTAAGTTTTACTGACATTTAGAAATGATTTTCATATGGGGGGATGTTGCTTTTGTTGTACTGAGCCTTTGTTGTATTGAGATGTTTTGTCAGATTGGCAAAAGATTCACTCCTTATTAAGGAGGGCAGAATGCTATGTGAGGGTCCAGATTAATTTGAAGACTCTGGCTATTGGCTGCTGGAAGCTAGATCTTGCAGAGGATTCTGTTTTAATTCTCAGAACAGTTTGTAGCCTTGAATTAGGCTGAAAGAATGAAACATGCTTGCTGTGCCAAAGCTGGAACCTGGGCCCTGGGACTTTCTGTCTTCTGCAGTATTGCAGTGCAAGAAAAGAGCACAAGGTCTTGAGATTGCCTGCGTTTATTGTGTGAACAGCAGATTAAGGGGTTTTAACAGTTGTAAAGAGAGGCTTCAAGGTACACAAGAAATATTTTATGAAACTGCAGAAGCGATGATTGGCTGAAATGGGGCTGAAGTACCCTTTCCACTGGGTGACAGGGAAGAGACTGGGCCGCCTTGCCTGCTTGGCGGAGGGGAGTAGAGTGTATGCAGACCTGCCCCCTACCCCAACTGTGACACTCCACTTACAGCTCACTGTTAATTTATAGCTTGTGGTCATCCACAGACTGGTGAACTCTCGTGTGGCAGTGAGCATGTGAGACAGTCCAGAATAGATCACGATTCTTTCACACAGACTGCGTGTTTTCTTCAGGGTCGTGTGCCCGATCTACCCTGTCAGGCCATTTGTAAATAGAATTGATTGATATAACACATGCCGTGCTACTTTTGTGTGTGTGAACTGCAGAGTTAGGGTTTTCTCCTTGCTTGTCTGCCATGGTCTGTGACAAACTGACTCAGATTTCTGGCTTCACATACAAGCTGCCTGCATCTGCATCTGCTTGCCTTATCACGTTGGTGCAGCCCTTGGCAATCCTCCTGCTAGGTAACATTGAGATACTCTTTTCACTTACCTGTTTTCCTGATCACAGTCTGCCTGGAGAGTTTCTTCCAAGAAATCCAAGAGATGCTTTTCAGTCTGGGAATAGTCTGCTCTGTTGCATTAAATATTATAAGAGCACTTACAGCAAGTACGTGTTCCTTCTAGGACAACACAGATCAGTGGCTATTTAAAAATCAGATTCGGTTGAAACAGAATGCCTTACAGAAAAACAGATGCTGAATTCCTGGTGCTTAAATATTTAAAGTGCAAAAGACACGAACAAGGCATTTCCAAGGAAATAGAGAATAATTGCTTTTGTGTTTCGCCCCATCGGTAACCAGAGCTGGGGCAGAAATGGCATGACTGAGAAGGAATGTACAGGTGGCTTTGGAAACCTGCTTTTAAAATATGTAGCCACCTCAGCAGGTTCAGTGACCGTTCCATTTACTACTCAGTGGCAAAATATCAAGGAAGTGACAACCAGGAATCAGCTGTGCAACTTATTTCCATCCAATTTCCAACCAGTTCTTATTTCTTAGTGTATTTAATTGGTCAACTGCACCTGTGAGCTGATGCTTGTCTGACTGTGTTGAAAAGTGGATGAAGCTCAAACCTATCAGAATGGTGTGTGAGAGCTAGTTCCCCCCTCAACCGCTCAAACTGTCTTGCAAAATTGAAGGGCTTCTTGGTCTTCAAATTGCCTTTTTTTGGTGATGGTAGCAAATTGCTATTTATATCCTTTCCCTGACACTCATATTCTGGAAGTATGTTCTCTCTGATCAAATAGGGATTGAGTGAAAAGGAGTTCTAGTTAGAACATTTTGTATTTTCTCACTGGCTGCATACCTAACTGAAACAAAGAAAAGACGAATAAACTGGCAGGAAGTAAAAATGGGTGTGATTGCTTAGTAGAACTATGGAGGTTTGCATTTATTTCAGCTTCAACCACAATGGTAGCAGAACAAATCTCTGGTTTGCCTTGTTTTGAACGGTGATGTGCTAATTTAATGCCTTTGGCAGCACATACACTTTCAAGAATTCTCTGAAATACTCCCTAGCTATGCAAAACAGAACCTCCTATGGCAGAAACAGAAGCAACTCATGTGTGATTCTTGGCCAGATATACCATGAATGGAACATTTTGATCATAAATGTCAGTATAAAGCACACTTTTTCACACTCAATCCTTCATTTGCTTATGGAGAGATGAGCAGGAATTTTCATTTAGTTTTGTGAAGAAAAATGCGGCTTTCTTTGAAAGTGCTTTTAAGAACCATGGGGATTTGCTTATTAGAAGCTGATAATGTCTTTTGGTATCTGCTGAGGTAATTCTTGGATCAGTTCTGTAGATAATACTGGAAGGATCTATTCCTAGATGGAAGGGCCAGTCTCTCAGTGGAAGGCTGCATGGTTTGCATGCAGAGGGTCCCCAGCTTAATCCCTGGCATCTCCAGGTGTGAAGGGAAACGGTGAAGAGCTGCTGCCAGTCAGAGAACCCCGGGCTAGAAGGATCCACAAACCAGCAGACCGGTCAGTATGGAGCACTTTTCTCTGAGCTTTTCCTTGAATGTTGCAAGTGATAGGTCATCTATCACTTGCAACATTTATAAAATCATGTGATAAGATAAGCATCACTGTAGAAAGAACCGGAAGGAGAAGGAAAGGCAGTTTGCTGGTCAACATGATGAAATAGCCCAGGATTTGTTAATCAGTGGGTACTAGGAGTTGGGTGCAGGTTGGCAAACATGCTGGCTCATCTGCTTTTGGTGTGTTTAACAACCCTGTGAAAGGGTTTCCTGGATGTTCTGTGTGAGGTGTGAACCCTGAATTTCTGGGTTGTTGTGGGAAGACAGCTGAGAATTAGTACCATGGTTTGTTTCTGGCTGGACCTTGGCATGAACCAGCAAGGCAGGTCCTATGTTCTTCAATGTTTGATCCTGCGCTGGGGCCAATATTTGGTCTTTTCACTTAAGGTAATGTTGATTAAACTCATTTAAACTGAGACACAATGTCATGAGGTTTGACCCCAAAGAAACCTTGCTTTGAATTTCAGGTTGGTCCTTAATTTGCTGGGTGTTCATCAGGAAGTCAATTTCAGCTTCAGTTTTGTATCTGTAAAATGGAAATAGAAGTGAATTCCATTGGAATGTTTTGAGGATGGAGTTGAGACAGTCTTTTTATCTACTTTCTATGTCCCTTAGAATGTTATCTGAGAAGAACATTGTGGTGGCAAACCAAGAGCAGGGCTTTGTGGCAGCCCTCATGGGCACCTCCCATCCTAGGGAAGCTCACTTAATTCCATCTTACCTTTGGACACTAGGGTGCCGGTGCTTTTCCTCCATTTGGAAAGTGCTTTTATTTATACTGCTCTCATCAGTTATGTTTCTAATTATATTGATAAGACGTGACCTTCTAAAAATGGTATCTTGGCATTTCGATGAAAGCAGAATATGAATATTAAGAAAAATGCTATTTATGATTCCATTCAGAGGTGTGAATTCTCCAGTTCAGGCATCCAGAGCTGCTAGCTATATCTGCTCAAAATGTGCATCAGAGTAACTTGGCGTGGGGGAGGGGCGGTTGTCACATAGCCTTGGCTTTTAATGCTGTCGTTTTGGCATTTCTTTTTCACGGGTTTAAAATGTAGACAGGAAACGAATTGTATTGCCTGTGGGGGGGGGGGGGGTGGATTGGCACAGAAACTTTTGACTTAAGCTTGCATTCCTTAAAGAGGAAAACTTTGATAGCCCTTGGAATGACAGGTATTCCTTAAAAATAGATAAGATAATGGGGCTTGTAATTTGGTGCAGAATTTCACACCTCTTCATGAATTTACCATTTTTGATTCCCATCTCTTGGGGGTCTTCCTCTCAGAGTAAGCTATATCCAGATAAAGATTTGAATATTGTTATCCGTAGGGAATGGGAGAGGTTGCCTAAAGTGCAGGCGGTAAAGGGGCTGTTAGGAAGTACTGAAGTCAGGTTTTCATTTATATGTTAGATCTTCCCAGACCAGATTTTTGGCCAAATCTTGTGCCATTTCATGATTTTATTTTGCTGTTGGTAGAGTTCATGCTACACATTATGATTGTTTTGATCATACTCCTTGCAAAGTACTATAGTAACTTAAAGGATAAAGGGTGACTTAAAGTATTTCAATGAATACAAATAAATCTTTGTGCTTCGGATGCATCTAGGTGAAACATAAGTGGTCCTGGCTTATAGAATAACTTGCTTACAGCAGATGGATTGGAGTGTATGTGATACAGTGTTGTGAAAATAACATATCCCTCTGAGATGCCTTAGCTTGGAAATGTTCAAAACACCATATATTAAACTGCAAATGGGTTGAAAAACGGTTCCCTGAAGGACTGTGTGGCTTAGTTCAATTTCATTCTTGTAGTTTGGATGATATAATGTTGGGTTCCAGCTGGAAAAAGTTGCATTACAGTAACCACCAAAGATCTGCAACAATTTTCAGTTGTGGAATCAAGGAGAGAACCACCCAAGGGTTCTGAAGATAAAGGCCTGTGGAGGGCAATTTGATGCCATCTGTGTAATGGCACAATGGTGATAAGAACTGTGGATGATTGTGAGCACGAGGTGTGTCCAGAAAGTCATGAGAATGAAGTCCCTATGCTCGAGAAGGGCTCTGTGAAGGGAGAAGCTGGCCAAGGTCACTTGGGGTGGGGTGCCAGGTGTATGTTAGA